TACTCTTTCAGCTTTTTCCCAAAGTTTCGTCCAGTTATGCTTTTTATTATTTCTTATGGGGTTTGGTGTTGGTGGAAATATGCCTGTTGATGGTAAGTTTAGCATCTTATTAATTATTTATTACTTTTATATTATAATCCATTTCTTTTTATAATCTTTTGCGTTTAACTCAATTTTCTTATTTATCGTATTAGGCGCTTTATTTCTAGAATTTATACCAAAAACTCATCAATATCTCCTTACTTCTTTATCTATCTTCTTTTCATTTGGTGCTGTTCTTACCTCCGTTCTCTCTTATTGTGTTTTGCCTCAGAATAGTTGTCTAGATTCATCTGAAAGTACTTGTGATGTCTATAAGCAAAACAATGGTTGGAGGTTCATATTAGGTATTCTGGGATTACTGGTTAGTTTGTTAATAATTGTTTGCGTCGTTTATAGTACAATGTTTTATTAATTCTATATAATTTTATTTGTTAGACTTGGATTATGTTTATTTGTCGTTTGATATTTTTCCGTCTTCAGGAATCTCCAAAGTTTCTTATCTCTCAAGATAATATACATGATGCTGTAGTTGTTTTACGCAAAATTGCTAGGATTAATGGAAATAATATGCAAATTAAAGATAGTGATATTCAATCTACAACTGTCAATTCGACTAATTCTAATCATACCAAATCATTTCCTGACGATATTCCTCAATCTCATACTGGTCATTTATTTGATCCTAGACGATGGTTATTATTAAAACTTCGTCCAGTCATGCCACTTTTTAGTAGAAGATGGATTAAAACTACTATTCTTGTATGGTGCATTTGGACACTCGTCGCTTTTGCTTACGTTATGTTTAATGTTTTTTTGCCTACATATTTAGAATGGCTAGGTTTAGATGATGATAAAACAACTGACGATATATCCTTATTACAAGAGGTATTAAGAGATTATGTGATATACTCTGTTTGTGGGGTTCCAGGATCTTTATTTGGATCCTTCCTTATTGAAACAATATTAGGTCGCAAAGGTAGTATGGCTCTAGCGACTTTCGGAACTTCTTTGGCAGTATTCTTGTTCTCTACTGTCCGTTCACGTACTGGTGAAGTTATTTCTTCTGCAATGGTCAGTTTTTTGGCAACTCTTAATTATGCTGTAATATACGGCTACACTCCTGAAGTATTTGAAGTTAGGCTAAGAGGTACTGCATGTGGAATTAGTTCTGCACTTGGAAGAATGTAATTTATCCTTTCATATTTTATATTTTATATATATATATATTTTTTTAATTTTGATGTTAATATAATTTTTTTTAATGTTACAATAGTGCCGGTATCATTGCTCCGATAGTTACTGGGTTGCTACTTTCTATCGATATTTCTATACCTCTTTATTTATCTGCATTTCTTTTTGCATTATCTGGCATTTGTATGGTATTATTACCAATTGAAACTAGAGGAAGACAAGCTTAATTTCCTTTGTAAGGTAAATCTATAAATTTTATTAAATTTTACATGCAAAACTTTCTTATCATCTAGTACTGACTATACAATTTTAGGATTAAATATTTGTATATTGATTATGAATAGATATTATAAATAGATATATATATATAATTGATAATATATATAATATATAGATTATATTACAAATGATCATTAATATAATATTTATATAATATCTTGCTAAACTAAAATTTAGATACAGATTTATAAATTTCTTGTTGGACTAAATTTATAAATTGTATTGAAGTTTAAACTTTTTTGAAAGATTTAAACCTATTGTATACATTTATAATTATCATTTTATTATAATTACTTGTTTACGTTATTTTGTAAATAATATAAATAAACCCTCTAGTTTTTAATTCAAATAGAAAGGTGTTCTAACCAAGTTTATACATTTTGTAAATAGTAAACGATTTTAAGCTTTCAAGTTGTAACCATATTTATTATGGCGCTTTGTAATAAAGTGTGACACTGATTTTTGTGATGATGGTAGTTGGAAATTTCGGAGATTTAGATTTTATATCAATTCTTTAAAATTTTCGGAGAATCAAAAAATCTGCTAAAATCTGCAATTTCACATGACATCGCATCGTGATCTGCAGATGTCACGCCAAAGCGCCATAATTGATTTAGAATTCAGTTTATTTTAAAAAATTAAAAAAAAATCATGAATTTAACTCACTCGGATTTTATAACGTTTTTTTTTTTTTGTTAAATAATACAGTAATATACATAAATTACCGTCAAATGGTTAAAAAAATTATATATATTGAACTAATATTTTTATCAAATTATTATATAAAATAATTATTTCATAAATAATAAGATATGATTAACAACTTCAAATACTTTTATTTTTATTTTACTAATTTTTATATTGTGCTACAACAGTATTCTATAGGATTGGTGTTGAAATAAAGCTAGTGGAATTTCAATAGAGACCGTCTCAACCTGAATTTTTAAAAATATTATAAGTTCACATGCGAATACGCATATCAGTTTTTCATTGTATCTTAAAAGTTTTTTTTTAAAAAAAATATATATATATATAGTTATTATTATTTTATACTATACTATTATTTATCCTGTACTTGAATTTCTTATACTCTCAATATCTTCACTAATCACTATTCTTTACTTCAAACTTGTTTTATTTATTTATTTATTTATTTATTTTTTTAACGGTGTCTTAGGTGTCTCATAAATTATAACTTTGGTCACAATATTAAAGTTAGTGGATTCACAATGTGAATAAATTTATTGGTATTTTTTTAAAAAATTTATTTACTATATCCTAGAGAAAGCCAAATATATAAAAAATGATTAAATCATATACAATTAAGAAATAATATAAATAAAATATAATGAAAAGTTTCAACTATCATAGATTCCACATTATAAGAATTTAAACTAAAAAATATTCACAACGGAAGTTTATGCGCTTAAAAAAAAAATCACGATCAGGAATTTTTAGCGTATCTTATGTTATAAAATTAGGTTATTAGCAACGTTGTCAATTGGATTACTGATAACACTGAATTACGTATTAGAATTGATTTTAGTTTATATCAAAAATTTAGTAAGATTTTTTTTTCAGTTAATGCTTAAAAATAATGACAAATTTAATGATTTAAACCTAACGTAAAATTTAATGATTCAAATACTTTCTTTTCTCTAAATTATCAAAAAAATGAAAAAATGAAACATTCTTTTATAAATGCATCCGATTTTTATTCAACTTATGGCGAACCATCTAATATTTGTAAAAAATTTGAAAGACCATCGAATCAATCATACAAAAAAAAAAAAATGCAACACCCCAAACATTCAAAAAAGTACTGACGTGAGCTAACTGATCTAAAAATTAAAGATGTTCAACCTGACTTCAGCCTTGATACATCTGAAGATAAAGTAGTTATTGCGAATTAATGCCATAAATCGTTATTTGCAAACCACTTCTAACCATCAACCAGTTAATATCTATTTGGATTTTGAGTTTAAGGAGTTTTGTGGCATACTAATGAAAGAATTAGAATAAACAACTTCATACCAAGGTGCAGATTCATTAACTGACGAGGAAATGAAAATTATTTTTAATTACCAACAAATATCACAAGACAGCTCACAATGGCTTTTATTTAGGGTATTTCTTTGGATTAGTTGCATTACTGCACCACAAGGTGGTTCTTATTACAAAATAATGTTAAAAAGATTTGGTTTCACAAGATGATAGCAGAAATAATTTGGTAACAATTCATGATAAAATACATCAAGGTAACTATTTTCACCATCGATGTGTACATGAAAAAGCTAAAGATCAGTTATATATATCAGATATTACCACCAGATGAATCAAATAAATGTGATCTGATCACTAATATCAAGCTATATATTTCAAAATTACCTCCTAATGCTGATAAAGAATTTTTTTTTTTATCTGCTTATTAATTATTCAGGTATATTTATTTATTTTTATAGTATTATTTATAATTTATATTATATATATATATTTCTTTTAGACAATGTTTGGTACTTTAATCGTCACTTAGGCCGTGATAAGTTATCAAGTTTCATGAAAGACATCTATACTATAACAGGCATTAACTGTGCTAGCAGAAGGATTGTCAATTACTCACTTCGCAAACATACTGCCCAAAAATTAAACGATGCAGGTGTTGATGTTCAAGCCGTGATGAACATAATTAAGCATCATACAATTGATGCATATAATATATATCGAATGTATATTTTACATCTATTGTTATATTTGTAATACAACAACTAATTTTAAATTTTTATATCACAAGAATAACAATAATGATAATAACGAAGCCGAAAAAAAGTAATGAAGGTGATGGGAAATAGATAAAAAAATATTACAATAATAAGAATTATGATAAAAACATCAAACAAATTCGCTTACCCGATCTCGATCTCGATTACCATTCACTCCTTTACGCAACTCAGCATAATGATAATACACAAAATGTTCACTTTGATAGTTTAAATGGTTTAAATTTTTAAAACTTTAATACAATTCAAAATTCTGTAATATCTAACCGGGTTGTTATTTAAGGGCAATATACTGAGTTTAAAATATACTAACTGGTAGATAGCAATCTCTAATGTTGATATGTTCTAATAGCATGATCCATATCAGCAGATCTTTGATAATAAACGATACCTCATGACTCATCCCTTTTCAACTCTAATTATCATAAATATAATAGAATGCTTTATGTTCATCCTTTTAAACTCCAATTCCATTTTGATAACAATAAGCAAATCCATATATTTCTTTAGCATAATAATAATAAATATTGCGGATTATGGTGAAATTTGGGGTCTCCTTTTGAAAATTTAAACCCTACTAAAATCTACTTGTACTCTTTTCTAACTCTAAACCCTAACCTAACCCTAAAAAAAAAAGCTAAGAAAATACATTC